CATGCTGGTTCTGAGCTTCATTTGGTACGCCCTTTGTAGGGTGGGTGTTAGGGGTGGTGCAGGCAGGGCCAAAGGGTGTGTGAGACCCCCAAAACCCATGCCCAGAGCTGGAGCACTCATCCTCCTTCTCTCCCCATCTCCCCCCACCAGCAAGGCAGCTAAGGGTGCTGCAGCCTCTGGAGGATGTGACCGTCATCGAGGGGGGCAGCGCCACCTTCCAGCTGGAGCTGTCCCAGGAGGGCGTGACGGGGGAATGGGCCCGGGGCGGAGTCCGGCTGCACCCAGGGCCCCAGTGCCATATTCACACGGAGGGCCGCACGCACCGCCTGGCACTCAGTGGCTTGGGTCTGGCCGACTCAGGCTGCATCTCCTTCACGGCAGACGCCCTGCGCTGCGCAGCCAGACTCACTGTGAGAGGTGCGGCCTCGGCGACACTGCTGCCTGCTGACCAGCTTGGGTGTGACTCTGCTGATCCCACTACCTGTGTGGCCCCCACTGACCATGGCCCAGTGTGTCCCACACTGACCTCTCTGCCGGCGTGTGGCTCCACTGGCCCTCCAGTCCCTGCAAACCACTGACTGGGCCACTGTGAGCCCATTAACCCCTGTATCTCCACTGTGGTATGTCAGTCTGGTCCCCATTGTCTGCCTGTGCTGACCATGGCCCCACTCACCACACTGAGTGTGACCCCACTGACCACACCTGCCTGCTGTGCCCCTGTCTGTCTACCTGAGTGTGCCCTTCTGACCACCCAAATCCCAATGACCCTCTGTCTGTGTCCCCTATGTTTGCTTCTAGCCCAGTGTATTCCCCCACTGACCACACCTGTGGGTCTCCCCATTGCTACTCTGAATACTTTGTACCCCCATTGTCCAGGGTCTCCTGTTCATCACAGACCATGCCTGTCTGTGGGTAACTCCACTGGCATCTCTGCTCTGGTTCCCCCCGTGTCCCTCTAGCACCAGCATGTCCCACACTGACCATCTTAAACTGTGACCACCAACTGGCTGCTCCTGCCACGTTAACCCTTGTAACTCCACTGTGACCTCCACCAACCAGCATCGTCCTAACACATCCCCAATAGTGATCTCCACTGCTCATCTTGCCTCAATGTGTCCACCACTAACCCTTTGTGCCCTTGTGTGTTCTCCTTGTCCCTGGGAGCTGGGCCCTCATCCTGTCCTCACCCTGTTCCCTCTGCACTGTCCTCCTCTTCCCATCCCAGAGGCCCCAGTGACCTTTGTGCAGGTGCCACAGGACCTAGAGGTGACCGAGGGCGACACAGCTACATTCGAGTGCGAGCTTTCCCAGGCTTTGGCAGATGTTATCTGGGAGAAGGTCAGAGCCCAGCCCCAGCCCAGCCCCCCTGGGCATCACAACAGTAAAATTGCCCCAAACTAATACTGAATGGGTGTGCCCGCCCCTGTGCCCAGATGTGCTGTACATTTAATCCTTTAATCTGCACAACGCTTTCAGGTAGGTCTTATTATCTCCATGTTGTCTCCAAGGAGACTGGGGCTCTGTGGGATGAAGAATTGCCCAGGGGAAGACAAAGGGGGCAGAGCCCATATTTGAATCCAGGTTTGTCTAATGCCAGAATCCACGCTCATGGCCAGTGTGGTTGGTACATGACCCTGGGCTTCCCGCGCCTGTGGAGTTCCTTCTCAACCTAATGTCCCCTAAAGGGCGACACCTTCCCAACGAGGCTCCTAGCTCAGCTCACAAGACTAACATAAACACGCCTGGAAACTGCTTGGTCGGCATCACCAAAGGGCGCCACCGCCTCCCAGGGCCGCGGTCGCCAGTGTCCAGCTGAGTTCATCCGGACCCTCTGCTCCCTCCCACTCCCCCCCAGGACGGGCGCCCGGTCGTCCCCAGCCCCCGGATTAGGCTCCAGGCCCTCGGCGCGCGGCGCCTTCTCCAGCTGCGGCGCTGCGGCTCCTCGGATACTGGCACCTACAGCTGCGTGGCGGGAGCGGCCCGCGCGGGCCCCGTGCGCCTGGCTGTGCGCGGTGGGTACGGGGTGCTGCTGGGGCCGGGCACTGAAGTGGGCACGGGGGCTGCAGGCAAGCCTTTTCCGGGGACTGACTCGGGAGTACTCCCCGGCGAGGGGCGGGGCAGGGTGGGCACCACCTTCCGCCCAGCCCCACCTCACGCCCCCGGCTCCGCCCCAGAGCGCGTGGTGTCCGTGCTCTCCGAGCTCCGGCCGGTGAGGGCCCGCGAAGGCGACGGCGCTACGTTCGAGTGCACCGTCTCCGAGGCCGAGACCACCGGCAGCTGGAAGCTCGGGGGCCGCCCGCTGAGGCCCGGAGGCCGCATCCGCATCCGACAGGAAGGTCTGGTCGTCGTGCTACCCCGGCTCCTCGCTGCCCCGCCCCCGGCTCGCATAGGCTCCGCCCATTAGGATTAGCCCCGCCTCCATCTCGAACGGGCCCCGCCCACATCCCTAAGCCGTCCGCCTGTCTCTCTGCGAGCCCCGGAGCCTGAGCCCCCCTCGGCCCCGGCCCGCTCCTTCGCCCCCTCCGCACCCCAGTTCCGCCCATCCTAGCGCTCGTCTGTCGCGTCCGAATCGACCCGGCGACCTACTCCCGCCCCACCACCCTCACCACCCCTCATCCCTTCCCAGAGGTTGCTGCGGCCTCGCTAGCGCCCCCTTCCTCCTCAGGGAGGAAACACATGCTGGTGCTCAGTGAGCTGCGCGCGGAGGACGCCGGCGAGGTCCGCTTCCAGGCGGGACCCGCCCAGTCCACAGCTGAGCTGGAGGTGGAGGGTAAGCCACTGCCGCGGGGGCGGCCTGGAGCGGGCAGCACCTTCCCTGGGGCTGGCAAGCTGGCGGCTTGTCCTAGGGACGCTGCCTCCCCCACCTCCCTTATCTCGAGGGGCTCTCCCGGGGCGGGTCACAGAGGGCAGCGGGAGGAGGAGGCTTTGGGTGGAGGGTACAGAGGAATGGGCCCGTGTCACTGAGATCTGAGACCAGGAGCAGAGGGGGTGGAGGGAAGAGGCGTTTCTCTTCCTGGGGATTCCTGCGTGTCCCTCTTAACTTAAGCCCTCGCCCTCCATTCCCAGCACTGCCTCTCCAGATGTGCCGCCGCCCGCCTCGCGAGAAGACGGTTCTGGCGGGCCGCCGGGCGGTCCTGGAGGTGACTGTGTCGCGCTCCGGGGGGCACGTGTGCTGGTTGCGGGAGGGGGTCGCGCTGTGCCCGGGAGACAAGTATGAGCTGCGCAGCCACGGCCCCACCCACAGTCTGGTCATCCGTGACGTGCGACCTGAGGACCAGGGCACCTATTGCTGCCAGGCCGGCCAAGACAGCGCCCACACGCGGCTGCTGGTAGAGGGTGAGTGAAGCTGACTTGGGCAGGAGGTCTGGCCAGGCAAAAGTGGTCAGCTGGGAGATGGTGGGCTGAGACACACCCACCGCAGGTTTTTCAGGGCCTGGGATAGCCAGTTGGTCCTGGGGTGTATTGAAGGCAGGGATTCGATAGGCTGAGGAAAGAGTTGTGTTCTCCATGGGAACCACTGGGTTCAGGGCAGCTGTTGCCACCTTTCTTCATCACTCACTTCCTCCTGCCACTGGACCATGTTTGTCTCACCTGAATACCCCATCTGTGCCCAAGTTCTTATCCTCCCAATTACCGGCTCCCTGTTTGTGGCCCCCACAGGCCCCTCACCCCCTCCTGTTCTCTGCTGGCTGCCGCCCATCTCAGTGAGTTCAACATCAGCCTGAGCAGAGGGCTCCTGAGCTAGTCCCATTTCTTTCCTCCTCCCACATAGGAGATGCCCCACTCTCTACCCAAATTCCTGCATTCCCTTCAGATGCCTTGCCCCACCCCTATCCAGCCCCCACTTCCCTGCAGCAAGACAGCCCTGACAGAGGCACGAGAAAGGGTGGGGCAGAGGATGAGGGGCACTCCTCCTATGTGGGTGCCCAGGTTCTGGCAGGGAGGATGGTGGTACCCACTTTCTCCCCAGCCCCACGCAGAGTTATTCCTCTGCAGGTAGCTAGAAGGACTGAACCAGGCCAGGCGGGTGCCCTCGGACAGCTTGGAAGGCGCATGCCCTAACCCTGGGCAGGGATGGGAGGCAGGGGAACCAGAGGTGTTGAAAAACAATAAAAGTGGTGTGGCCCTTTGCCTCGGCTCTCTGTATGATGAAGGAGGGTAGAACTGGCCTGGAGGACCCTTTGGAGTGAGTGACACAGGGGACCAAGAACTACAGTGCTTCTAAGTTGGCCCGTGGACGTGCCAGCCACCGAAGATCACTACTCTTGGCAGAAGCCACAGTTTGGCACATTTATAAAAGATGTAAAACAGGGTGGGACGGAGGGAGACAGAAGCATGAGGTGTCCAGGGTGGCAATGACAGACACCAGACATGCATCGTGCATTTAAGCCCCCTGAGCCCCAGGTCCCCTTCCCTACCCATCCCAGAGCAGCAGCCCCTACCCCTATCCTCTGCCACTGCCCTCAGGCTGGTGGCTTTGCAGGGGACAGGGAACCAGGGTTAGGGAGGCTGCAGTGGAGAAGGACAAGAAGCCTCGGATGAATCTGGCTGAGAGGCAGAGCAGTGGGGGAAGAAGGCAGGCCTCCCCCACGTAGACATGCAGGAGAGTGGCCCAGGGGACCCCAGCAGTGGGAGAGGAGGTGGGCAAACCTTGCAGAAGCCCTACCAATCAGAAACCTAAGGCAAGAGTCCCAGTGTTCCCTCCAACCCCACCCCTTCATGCACACGCACACACAGGTGGCACTCTCACAACCCTGAGCACACCCCAAAGGGGCTCACACCCCAAACCTCAGGAGCTCCTTGGGAGAGGGCTTTCCCCTCAGACCAGGCATAGCCTGAGACAGGTCCTCCCTTCTGGCAGCCAGGCCAGTCCTCTCCAGGGTAGAGAACAACAGCCATAGGCTACATGGTGAGGTGGGCTGGGCGGTGGCCCAGCAGGCCTCCGCAAGCTATCAGAGCTGGTCGCCACAGAGTCCAGGTGGGCGGGAGCAGCTCAACTGCTATACCCGCACAGGGGGCCCTGTGCAGGCTGTCAATGGTCCCCGGGACCCATATTCATAGTCCATGTCCGTGGGTGAGGCCATGAAGGAGCTCAGGGAGCTTCCTGTCTGCCGGTCCCGGAAGCTCTGGATATAGCTCTGTGGGAGAATAAACACAGAGGTGAGTGCAGCCACACACCTCTGCCCTGAGAGCCACCTCAGGCAGACATCCTCTCCCTGCACCCCCACAAGCCTGAGACTTACCCCAGACTGCTGTAGTCCCAGGACCTCATCACACTCATAGCCTAGCCCTGAGACCCTACCCCGTACCATACTCAGTTAAAATTCTTACTCGGGCACTTTTCCCTCATCCCAGTGCTGGGCCCATCTGGCTCCTGGTGCAGGGGTTATGATTAGGACAAACATTAGGCCTTCTAGACAGTGCCCAGCCCTAAGAGAAGCCCAGTCCTGGGTGGACGGAGCTTACACATTCCCTTGACCCCATTCGGATGGGAGGGGCTCGGAGTGCTCACCGGGGAGAGGACATCTCCATTGAAACGTTTGATGGGCACTGGCCTGCGCCGATAAGCAGGGTCAGGGGGCCCAGGCCTTGGAGGGGCCCGGGAGCCTCTGGAGGGAGCCCTTGAGGGTCTCTTCTTGCGCCGCTTCTCCTTGCGCTCTTCCTGCTGCCTTATCCGCATCAGCTGCACACGGCGTCGCTGCCGGCTGATGACCACTATGAAGGGATGGGCAAGAAGCGTCTCAGGGGTCCACATGGGTCATCTCCACCCTTCCCACCTGGTAGCCTAGGGCTTCCAGATTCCCCTTATCTGTAAACAACCCCTCCCCTTTCCTTTCCTGGTCTCCCACCTCCCAGATGGGACTTCCATTGCTCTTTATCTCTGAAGATCTTTATGGAAGATTCCTAGACTCTAGGTACCCCTCTCCAGCTGTCATCCCTCTCCCAACCCTGTGCTCTAGGTGACTCACCGAGACCAGCCACCATCCCTCTACTGGACAACCTCCGCTACCTCCTCACTGGTTTCCCTTCTACACTTGCCTTCCCCAGTGTTTTCTACATTCAGCAGCCAGAATGAGCATCCCAAATGCTAAATTAGATCGTATCCTCCCTGCTTTAAGCCTCCAACAGCATCTTATTGCCCTCCTAAAAAAAAAAAAAAAAAAAAAAAAAAAGAAAAAGAAAGAAAGAAAGAAATCCAGTCTGGCCAGAATGGCTCATTGACCTAGGAACCAGGAGATCACGGTTCAATTCCCAGTCAGGGCACATGTCTAGATTATGGGCTCAATCCCCAGTGTGGGGCATGTAGGAGGCAGCCAACCAATGATTCTCTCTCTCCACTGATATTTCTCTCTCTCCCTCTCCCTTCATCTCTGAAATTAATAAAAATATAAAGTAGGCCCTAACCAGTTTGCCTTAGTAGATAGAGCATCGGCTTGCGGACTGAAAGGTCCCAGGTTCGATTCCGATCAAGGGCATGTACCTTGGTTGCAGGCACATCCCCAGTGGGAGGTGTGTAGGAGGCAGCTGATCGATGTTTCTAACTGTCTATCCTTCTCCCTTCCTCTCTGTAAAATATATATATATATATATATATATATATATATATATATATATATATATATTTTTTTTTTTTTTTTTTTTTTTTTTTTTTTAAAGAAGAAGCAGCAGCACAAACTGGCCTGGCTCAGTGGTTGAAAGTTGACTGATCACAGTTTGATTCCCGGTCAGGGCAGCCAATCAGTGCTTCTCTCTCATAATTGATGTTTCTATATCTCCCTCTCCCCTTCCCTCTAAAATCAATTTTAAAAATTAAAAAAAAAAAACATAAAATAAATAAATAAAATTCAGAGTCCTCATCATGGCCCAGAGGGCCCACATAATCAGCATCTCTCAGTCTCTACAATCCAGCCCCATTTCTTCCACAAGCCAAGCCCATCCCTTCTCAGGCCTCCACTCTTGCTACTCCCTTTTCTCTAGCTGTTTGCATGGCTGGTCCCTTATTCTGCAGAACTCTACTTAAATGCCACCTCTTCCAAATGGCCTTCCTTAACACCCTGTCTATAACAGCCTCTGAAAGTCACTCATATCTCTTTCATATCACTCTGCACAACCAGAACTCTCTTGTGTGTTTGCATGTCTATTAGGAAGGGACCTCTTCTATTTTTGTCTCTGTTGTATCTCCAGTTCTGGAGTGGACTTAGCACAGAACTGCTGCTCCGTACTGTGGAATGAATAGTACCACTGAGGTCCTGTCTTCCTTCCTAGACCATGATGGAGTCACCGCTCTAACCCTATTGAGGCCTTCCACTGCTGATGTGCACAGCTTCTTCACCCCCCACTCCCAAATGTCCCCCCACCCTCCCTACCCCCCGCCCCCCACTTCTTTTATGACCACCCGGGTCCGTGCCCTCTCTCACCTTCCGTGTGGGAGTCCCCCTCGGCCGTCACCCGCCACTGCACCAGGACGCCCATCAGGCTGAGCAGAGGCCAGAGCGCCAGCAGGGCCCAGCTACGCCAGCACAGGGGAGGCACAGGGGCAGCACGTAGCCGCTCCACCGCGTAGCGCCCCAGCAGCAGCAGCTCGGCAAAGTAGTCGGCGGCAGTGGCGATGAGCGCAGCGCCAGTCACAGCGGTGGCCAGAGTGGTGAGCGGGCGAGGCCAGCGCAGCGTGAGCAGCGCGCAGAGCAGGCCGCCCCCCAGCAGCAGCCCCAAAGGGCTCCACACAGAGCCCGGCTGGTAGTAGGGGGTGGAACCCAGCAGGGCAGCAGCGGCGAGCAGCAGACCGAGCAGCAGCCCCACCAGAAAGAGGCCCACGCTGCGCACCAGCATGGCCACCAGCCCGCACAGCAGCCCGATGCCCAGTGCGATGCCCGCACTCGCCCCGGCACTCAGCTGTGTCTCCAGCACCCGCTCTCGGTAGCACAGCAGGAAGATGACCACCGAGCCAAACAGCAACCCAGTGAGGAAGAGCACTGCCTTGAAGCAGCGGTAACCTGGAGGGGAACAGGCGCCAGTGAGGGGCCAACATGAGGTCACCCGGCTGGAGGCAAGGGGTGGAGGGGTCAGAACGTGAAATCACAGGGGAGCGAGAGGCAGGATACTAAGATAAGAAAATTGGGGCTCTTAGGGTCTTGAGGGCACCAGTGATGGGGCCACTGGGGTCAAGGGAGGTCAGAGAGGTAGGTCACTAGGAGTCACTTGGAAAACAGAGAGACAGACATTGAGATGAACATTTGGTCTTTGAGGGTTAAAGGGGTCAGAGATAGGTCATTGGACTCAAGAGTGTATCAATGATAGGGTCATTGGGGTCATTGGAGTCTTGAGGGTCAGAGAAATAGGTCACTGGGGTCACAAGGGGATCAGCAATAGAGTCATTGGGGTTTGTGAGGAGGGATTGTTCAGAGAGATGAGGTATTTGGAAGTCAGAAAGAATTTGTGAGATGAGTTCTTGAAGGGGTCACAAGGCTTCAGAGACATGGCATCACAGAGAAAAGAGAAGCAGGGTTAGTGGGGACTGGTTCCAGGAGATGAGGCCTTTGCAGGTCAGGGGGATTGACAGACATGGAATCATTGGGAGTATTAAAGGGTTTCAGAGAGAGGGTAATATTGAAGCCAGAGAAATGGCGTTATTGAGATCTTGGTGTGCAGGAGGAGCAATCAGGCAATGAGTTCCTAGCAATGGCTATGGGAATGGAGTCAGAGGGATAAAAGGTGATGAGATAGCTGGAGGAGGAGGGTCGCTAGGGCTTACAAGAGGTCATAGGGAGTCAAAGAGAATTACAGGTGAAATAGCGGTTGTAGAGTTCCAGGAAAGTGGTGGTTATAGGGCCATTGGGTCCATGAAGGGTAACCAGAAGAGTGAGGGACTTGCTGATCCTGAACAGTTGGGAAAGTGGGGGTGGAGGGGTCAGGGAGAGCCAACGAGAAAGGTCAAAGAAAAGAGTCAATTCTGGGAATGAAGGGAAGCATTAGAATCCAGGAGGTTCTGGAGATAGAAAGAAGAGCAGGGAACACACAACGTTCAGAGTCCAAGAGCCTCGGAGTGGGGGCATCCAAGAGGGGTAAGGTGGCAGGAAAGCCCAGGAGAGGGAATGTCAGGGTGTACTGAGCAACTGCAGAGGGGTTGGGCATGGATATGGATATGGGTAGGGGAAGGAGGGAGGTTACACAGACTCCTTGGAGGCCCAGAATGTATTGTGAACCCACAGAGGGGCACTGCCTCCTGCCCACTCTGCAATTGTTCAGCCAAGGGTTCGGGGGTGGAAAGAAAAAGACCATCTGGCTCCCATTCCTGCCCACTACCTGGCCAAGCTAGGGGGAGGTATAGAGGCATCAGAACACAAGTCTCACCCCACCTCTGCCAAGCCTGGAACCCAGACCTCCAAGCTTCCTTTACACTTATTTCCGTCACTGATAATGCTCCTCTTGGAGGCTTTCCTCGGGCCTCCAACCAATAGAGATTGCTCCCCTCTCTGAAGTTCTGCCACTCTTGCTGTAGAGTCACTGGGCACTTACTCCACGAGTCTATCAGGCACCTTTGTGCAAATTAGAAAAAGGGGTGCCACCCAGGCCAGTGTGGCTTAGTTAGTTGAGTGTCCCATGCATCAAAAGATTGCTGGTTTGATTCTCAGTAAGGGGACATGCCAGCTGGTGGGTTCAATCCTGCTTGGGATGCATAGGGGAGGCAACTGATCGATAGTTCTCTCTCACATCAATGCTTTTCTCTCTCCCCCTCTCTTTTCCTCTCTCTCTAAAGTCAGTAAAACATATTAACAACAAAAAAGAGAAAGAAAAAGGTACGCCTTCCTTTAGGCAAAGCAGCCTTGTGGCAAGGTCTAGAGTTTGGCAAATGGAGCATGAACTGGATTTCAGGCCCCACTTGCCTATTAACTCAACTCACTTGTATAGTAGCCATTCGGTTCAACTTTTCACAGCCACCCTGATTATTGGAGCCTACCTTATGGGTGGTCTTCATGTATATGACTACTATCTAGCCTACTCTACAGTTGACCTTTGAACAACACACGTTTGAACTTCACAGGTCCACTTATACATTATTATTTCCAGTAAATATATCCTGCCTGTGCTCCAGTCAGCCCTCAATATCCTCAGATTTTACATGCACAGATTCAGCTGACTGCAGACTGAAAACAGTATTTTGGATCTTTGGTTGGGAATCTGTGCATGCTAAGAGCCAACTTAAGTTATATGTGGGTTTTCGACTGCACCCAAACCCTTGTGCTATTCAAGGGTAAACTATTATATGTATCAAGGTGTGAATATTCCCAAAGTCTCTCCCCCATTATACTCTGTGTGAAGGGACCATGCTTAATCACCCTGCTAAATGTTTTCAGTCTCTAGCTACAACAGTGACCCAAACACATCTTCACCACAATAACTATTAGTTATTGAGTCCCTACTCATTCTCACAACAACCCTATTTGAGGTAAATATCATAAAATCAATAAAAACATATTGTTCCCACTGTTCAGATGAGAAAACTGAGCTAAGGCAAGTTAATATGCCCAAAGCATCACAATTAGCAAGGTACAAAGCCAGGTTCAAATTAAAGCATGCTAATTCAAAAAAAATCTGTGTTTTATAGGATCTAGAGTCTAGACCAGCGGTCGCCAACCTTTCGGACCTACCAGACCACCAGTGGTCTGCAGACCACGGGTTAGCGACCGCTGCTCCAAATATTTCATTAAACCAGCAGTCGCCAACCTTTTGGACCTCATGGACCACCAGTGGTCCATGGACCACAGGTTGGCGACCACTGGTCTAGATGATATAGGAACATGTGGTATGATAGAAAGTAAGGAAAGGGAGTTAGTTATTCATGCTAATTTTGGTGGGGGTGGTGGGGATGGGAATGAAGTTCTGGAGGAGATTTGGAGTGCATCAGGAAAATAGGGAGAGAATGGGGAGCCCAGGTAAGGGATGAAATTGGGGGTCTCACCGAAGAAGCAGTAGACGACTCCAAACAGACAGCACATGATGCAGACGAGGGCCGGCAGTGCCTGGTACCTGCGCTCCTGGGGCTGTTCACAGGGTGCACCCCAGAAGGCATCATCTGGCTCAGGGGGCAGGAGCTGGAACCGCAGTGTCGCCACAGTGCCTGGCATAGTGCTGGGAATGAAAGGGAGTCACCCTCCCAGGTCAGCCTGACAGAGAGGAAGCTGGAGTCAAGGAGGAGTCCTGGGTCTCCACCAGGATGGGGCAAGAATGGGAGTGGAAGACCTAGGCAAGGACACGCTGGACAAAGGAGTGGTGCCCACATCAGGCAGCTCCAGAAGCATCCCTAATTGGGGGACAAAAGACAAAGGGAACAAAAGTGTCTGGCTGGAGGGGGGCCAGAAAGAAGAAGTCAAAAGGGGAACTGGTTGGGGGGAGATGAGGGCAGTGTGCTGCCAGTGAGGAGGCAGTCAGGAGACTCTGTGGGCGGCTAAATCTGGGATTGTCCAAAATCTACCTGGGCTGGAAGCGACCTGAGCTTTTGAATGAAAGAGGCTGTGCAGAGGCCAGAGGGTCCAAGGGTGCTGGGCGCCAGAGGCCCCAGCAGCTGCCTGGGGTCCAGGAAAAGTCCGTCGTTGGGGAAGGGAGCTGCTGGGCCGGAGGGACCTGTCTCTGCGCGGCGGCGCCGCTCCGCCTCCAGCACCGGCTGGCACTCCAGTCCCGCGGCGTCCGGGGCCTCGGGCTGGGCCTGGGGAAGGGAAAGGAGCAGGAGCAGGGCTCGGGCCGCCCCAGAGCCGCGGCCCCATGCCCCGAGCCCGCCCGCGGCCTTTGGTGCTGATGGACAGCTCCGGCCTCGGCTCCTGACGTCACGCAGGCGCACCGTTCTGGCCGGGGCGGGCTGCCTCTGACGTCATTCTGGACGCACCAACCACGCCGAGGGGAGGTAGGGGGCTCCGCCCCCGGCGTCTCCCTCTCGCTCACTGAGGAGGGGGCACTTCCGGGGGTCCTTCCCCTTTCACCTCCCCCTTCTCCTCCCTCTCCGGTAGCCGGAGCCCTAGACCCCACCCCGGGGGCGGGGCCCTCGCAGTGACACGTCGGACAGCGGCGGCGGCGGGGGCGGCGGAGGCGGAGGCTTCGGTACCGAAAGCAGAGACCCTGCGCGATCCTGAACGGCGGCCGGAGCGGGATTGGAGCGCGGCGCCGGGGGGTTCGGCTCGGCCCCCAGCTCTGCCCGGCGGGGTGGAAGCGGGCCAGCCGCTTGGCCCGGGCCTCCGGATCCGCCCCCTCCCCGGTCCCGCCCCCTCGGAGCCTCCGGCTGCTCTGGGGCTGCTCCGGGGCTGGGGCCCGCGGTCCGGGCGCCATGCGGGCATCGCTGCTGCTGTCGGTGCTGCGGCCCGCAGGGCCCGTGGCCGTGGGCATCTCCCTGGGCTTCACGCTGAGCCTGCTCAGCGTCACCTGGGTGGAGGAGCCGTGCGGCCCAGGGCCGCCCCAGCCCGGGGACGCTGAGCTGCCGCCGCGAGGCAACACCAACGCGGCGCGCCGACCCAACTCAGTGCAGCACGGAGCGGAGCGCGAGAGGCCGGGCGCCGGCGCCGGGGAGGACTGGGAGCCGCGCGTCTTGCCCTACCACCCCGCACAGCCTGGCCAGGCCGCCAAAAAGGCCGTCAGGTAGGGAGCAGCCCCGCCAGCTCCACCCCTGGGCACCGGCCGGGACGGGCTCTCCCGGAACGCCGCCGCCGCCGGGGCCGGGTCAGACTCCGGAAGGAAGAGCCTGGCCGGCCAGGAAGTCTTTGGGCCGGATAACTTCCGATGGCCCTGCTTGCCCCGGCCCTGGAGCCCGTCTGAGGCCCTCTCTGGGCTGAACCTACCCTGTAGGCTCTGTGCTACACCGGCTCCACTCCCTGGTCCCCCAAACCTCCTCCGAGCTCCCTGGCTGGCTGTTGGGTTTAGAGAAATGATTGGTATGAAATTGGATGTAGAGAGGGGGGGGGAGGGGGAGAAAAAAAGATAAAACTAGGATTTACCTAGTATCTCTTGTTCGTGGGTGGGACACCTCGTGACGAGGTTTGTGGGAGAGAAATGATGCAGCCATCCCGCTCATGCCCCTGCCAACGAGTTGAAGTCATTCTCCTAGGTAACACTGAGTTCACATTCCAGTTCTGCAACTTACCTTCTGTGTTATGGAAGGGGAGTTACTGGAACTCCTGAGCTCCAGCTTGCCCTTCCCCCAAACACACTCAATACACCCCTATGCCATATATTCCATTACATCATTTCTGTGATGGTTTGTGGTATAATGGCATATTTATATAGAAATAAGTACTGTATACATGGTGTGCAGAATACTAAGGGTCAAGCATTTGCCTAAGTGCTTTAAGTAGATACAGTCAACCCCATTTTTCAGATGTGGCCAGTTAGGCTCAGATAACCTAAATAACTTGCTCAAGGACACAATTACTAAGTAGTGAAACAGGGACTCAGACCCACAATATGTTTCTCATATCTGCATGGATATTGCCAACTCCCAAAAGCACTATGTAGGTAAGACTAACATTTCACTTAAATCCACAGGACATCAGGGAGAGACATGTTATTCTCATCCTATTCATAGGTGAGGAGACAGACCCAGAGAGGACATGACCTGCGGAAGCCCATGTATGCTGCCTCCTGTCTTCCTTAAGCATTTTTAAAAAATTGATCTTCTAGAGAGGAAGGGAGGGAAGGAAGGGAAAAGAGGGAGAGGGAGAAACGTCAATCAGTTTACCTCCTGCATGGGCCCTGACTGGGGATGGAGTCCACCTGACTATGTGCCCTAATTTGGGAATCGAACTTACCACTTTTTGGTGTAGGGATGACACTCCCAACAACTGACCCACATTGGTCAGGACCCCATTGTCTTTTTTATTATGTTTTTTATGCTTCTATTGATTTCATAGGGGAAGGGAGAGGGAAAGAGAGACAGAAACACCAATGATGAGAGAGAGTCCTTGATTGGCTACCTCCTGCAAGCCCTCTACTGGGGATCAAGCCCACAACCCGGGCATGTGCCACTGACCAGAGCTGAACCCGGTACCCTTCAGTCTGCATTCCGACGCTCCATCCACTGAGCCACACTGGCCAGGGCCCCGTTGTCTTTTTGATAATCGTGTGCCTTCTCCTCCCCCAGGACCCGCTACATCAGCACCGAGCTGGGCATCAGGCAGAGGCTGCTGGTGGCAGTGCTGACCTCACAGGCCACGTTGTCCACCATGGGTGTGGCCATGAACCGCACACTGGGGCACCGGCTAGAGCGTGTGGTGTTCCTGACAGGCTCTCGGGGCCGCAGGGCCCCACCAGGCATGGCTGTGGTGACGCTGGGCGAGGAGAGGCCTATTGGCCACCTACACCTGGCACTACGCCACCTGCTGGAGCAGCACGGCAACGACTTTGACTGGTTCTTCCTAGTGCCTGATACCACCTACACCGAGGCCCACGGACTGGTGCGCCTCGCTGGCCACCTCAGCCTGGCAGCTGCTGCCCACCTCTATCTGGGCCGGCCCCAGGACTTCATCGGGGGAGAGCCTGCCCCTGGCCGCTACTGCCACGGAGGCTTCGGGGTACTGTTGTCCCGCACCCTGCTGCAGCAGCTGCGCCCCCATCTGGAGAGCTGCCGCAACGACATCGTCAGTGCTCGTCCAGATGAGTGGCTGGGACGCTGCATCCTCGATGCCACGGGGGTGGGCTGCACCGGTGACCACGAGGTGAGAAGATAAGCCGCCCCACCGGTACCTCCTATCTGAGCTTGGGTACTTCGCCTGAGAGACAAAAGGGTGGTTGGAAATATAGGCCTGGATTTCCATGCCAGATTTTCCCTTTTCTATCCCTATGACCTGGGTAAATTACTGAATCTCCCGAGTGGCAGTATCCTCATCCATACCAAAGGGAACAATTATTGTTCAGGGTTGTTAGAAGGATTAGAAAAAAAGTGAGAGAGCTTTGCATATAGTAGGTGTTCAGTATTGGCAATTATTATTTTATTTGAGCCCCTGGATAGCTCTGAGATAGGATGCATGCCCATTTCCTAGATGAACTAGCAGAGGCTTGACCAAGGTTATACACAAGCTGACAAATGGCCAAGGTACTTAAAATCACAATTCTGATTGCAAGTCCACAACAGGTCATAGAGTGGGGAAATGAGACACACACCAGGAGGTGAGGGGTAGAGGCTGTTCCATCGTCCTTCTTTTTATGGACCCCTATTCTTTCTCTCCCCAGGGAGTACATTATAGTTACCTGGAGCTGAGCCCTGGGGAGTCCGTGCAGGAGGGGGACCCTCGTTTCCGCAGTGCCCTGACCGCCTACCCTGTGCGCGACCCTGTGCATATGTACCAGCTGCACAAGGCTTTTGCCCGAGCTGAGCTGGAACGCACATACCAGGAGATCCAGGAATTGCAGGTATGGTCTGGGCTGGGGGAGGGGTGGCAGGTCCTGTGAGGTCTTAGAGATCCCAGGGAAATAAACTATGAGCACTAGAATCAGAACTCATCTACCTCCTGTTCCTGTTTCTTTCTGAACATTCTGAGAAGCCCCTCCAGAAACCCCCCTTTCAACTCTTAGGCTGCCTCCATCTGGGGAAAGGAAAGGTAGGGGCATTGGGAGGCAGAGATTGGCAGGGGGCAGGACCCATCCCGAGTGGCACCTGCCGTTTGCCCAGTCCCCCGGCTGGCCCCTGGGGTCTCTGCCTTGCTCACAGTGTGTTTCTCCACCCCAGTGGGAGATCCAGAACACCAGCCGTCTGGCAGCTGATGGGGAGCGAGCAGCCGCTTGGCCCGTGGGCATCCCAGCACCATCCCGCCCAGCCTCCCGCTTTGAGGTGCTGCGCTGGGACTATTTCACCGAGCAGCATGCTTTCTCCTGCGCCGATGGCTCGCCCCGCTGCCCTCTGCGCGGGGCTGACCAGGCCGATGTGGCCGATGTTCTGGGGGCAGCCTTGGAGGAGCTCAACCGCCGCTACCACCCCGTCCTGCAGCTCCAGAAGCAGCACCTGATTAACGGCTACCGCCGCTTTGATCCTGCCCGGGGCATGGAATACACGCTGGACTTGCAGCTGGAGGCACTGACCCCCCAGGGTGGCCGGTGGCCCCTCACTCACCGGGTACAGCTGCTCCGGCCACTGAGCCGCGTGGAGATCCTGCCCGTGCCCTACGTCACCGAGGCCTCGCGTCTCACTGTGTTACTGCCTCTGGCCGCGGCCGAGCGCGACCTGGCCTCCGGCTTCCTGGAGGCCTTCGCCACAGCGGCTCTGGAGCCTGGCGATGCTGCGGCAGCTCTGACCTTGCTGCTGCTCTATGAGCCACGACAGGCCCAGCGGGCGGCCCAGGCAGATGTCTTCGCTCCCGTCAAGGCCCGTGTGGCAGAGCTAGAGCAGCGTTTCCCCGGTGCCCGAGTGCCCTGGCTCAGCGTGCAGACGGCCGCCCCCTCGCCACTGCGCCTCATGGATCTGCTCTCCAAGAAGCACCCGTTGGACACGCTGTTCCTGCTGGCTGGGCCGGACACGGTGCTCACGCCTGACTTCCTGAACCGCTGCCGAATGCACGCCATCTCCGGCTGGCAGGCCTTCTTTCCCATGCACTTCCAGGCCTTCCACCCCGCCGTGGCCCCGCCGCAGGGCCCGGGCCCCCCGGAGCTGGGCCGAGACACGGGCCGCTTTGACCGCCAGGCGGCCACCGAGGCCTGCTTCTATAACTCTGACTACGTGGCGGCCCGAGGGCGGCTGGCGGCGGCCTCGGAGCAGGAGGAGGAGCTCCTGGAGAGCATGGACGTGTACGAGCTGTTCCTCCGCTTCTCCAACCTGCACGTGCTGCGGGCAGCGGAGCCGGCGCTGCTGCAGCACTACCGGGCCCAGACGTGCAGCGCACGGCTCAGCGAGGACCTGTACCATCGCTGTCGCCAGAGCGTGCTGGAGGGCCTGGGCTCCCGCACCCAGCTCGCCATGCTGCTCTTTGAGCAGGAGCAGGGCAACAGCACCTGAACCCACCCTGTACCCCAAAACCCTGGCCTGGGGGTGCTTCTCCCCAACCACCCGGAGCCACCTGTCAGCCTCCCTGGGCAGGGCTGGCTGGCCACAGCCTCAGACTCCAGGACAGCCCACTGGCCTTCTCTCTCTGGCTTTGTGGGCACTCAGGCTCAGGAGAAGCCCCACGGGAGGTGCCCTCAGAGCCACCCCTTCCTGCCCCTGACGCTGCTGACTCAAGCTGTGGCCTCCATATTTATGTAGTGCAGTCACCTGACGCCAGGCCTGCCTCTAAGTCCAGGGGCTGGGCTGTAGATGACCTGTTGGGAAAGTGGGGAGCTGAGAGGAGGAATGTGGGGTGTCTCCCAGCTTCTCCCTTCTGGACCCGATGAAGCTCTCTGCCTTTAATAAACTGGCTGAGTGTGGACTGGTGATTCTGGGTTTTTGAAAGGTAGGTAGCAGGCAGGGAGGGCTGACAGTGAGGATGGAAGCTGTCCTGGCTAGGCCTGGATTTCCTTTTCCTGGGGACTAAGTCATGCATATGCCCAGCCCCGCTCCAGTTCCCAGCCTGGTTACACATACACACAGAGAATTCTTTATGCCTCTTTATTCCTAATTTCGTCAGCACTTATAAAACCAGACTGGAGACGCAGGCCTGAGAAAACTCTCTTCCCCACCCCCAAGCTCAGCCAAGGTCTGAAAGGTTTGCCTGCTCCTTGTGGAGGGGACTCTGGGGGTGGGGATGGGACAGGGGGGAATTGGGAGCTGGGCCAGGCCTGCTGGGCCATCTGCTCCCCCTGCCTCCACGGAGCTGGGCCTGGAGAGGGGCAGGAAGTAGGAGAAGCCCAGCAGTCCCGACTCCTGGGAGCCCGCCCTCTCCTGCTGACACTCTAGGGCTGGGACCCTGGCTGTCACTGAATCACCCACCCCCATAGCCCCACCCACCTTCTATATCTGTACTCCCACCCCCACCCTGTCCTCCCTAAATATATACAAATGTACAGAGGGTTCCACCCCTTCTGGGGTTGCCACTTCCCCCACCTCCCTCTCTTCTCCCTTCTCTCCTCCTCAGGGGGTGGGGGGGGAGGCATGGTCTGCTCTCCAGCCCTCCCCAGGCACCAACCTCCGGAGGGGTTAAGGATAAGAAGGACCCTTGTGCCAAGCAGCTGGCGCCAGGGTCGGTGAGAACAGGAACTGAGTGTCTTCTCAGTGAGCACCACCCTCTCCCCGTCAGCCTTGGGCTGCCCACAGGCCTTCTGTCCCGGGAGCAGGAGGAGACTATTTTAGGGATCCAGGGAGGAGTCCCAGATGCCTTGGTCCTTTTAGACACAGCATCATCCTAGCAAGCGAAGTCTTCAAAGAGGCCTCCTGCAGGGCCGTGTGGGTGGTGGTGGTTGGGGAGCAGGTTGCTGGCTCCCCCACCTTCAGCCCGGCCCCGGCTCAGACAGGGACTCTGCAAGGGGAAGAGGGAGCGTTCAAACCACCCCCCCCAAGCGTCCCACAGCCAACCGTTCTCTCCTGTGGCAGAGGCTCCATGGGAGCCCAGGAGCCCTTCTCAGGCTGGTACAGAAACCATGGAGAAGGCGCTGGCTGCATCCTCTCAGGGCTCATCCTCACCTGCTCCTTCAGCTCCTGCAGCCCCAGGGTGGAGATGCCCCCAGAGGAGGTCCGCAGGGGGGTCTTGGGGCGACGCCACACCTTCTTCAGTCGGTCCCAGGACACCTTGGGGTTCAGGGAGAGGGGACAGTGGTGGGCTCAGGAAACTTGGTAGAGGAGAAGGGCAGTAAGGAAGCGGGGAAGGAATATCCCGGCATCTCTCCCTGGTATTGGTAGAGGAGAAGGGCAGACTAGCCAGGTTCACCTTATAGCACTTGCTACCCAGCAAATCCCAACTAGGACTCCCCAACCTTCTCCCCCCACCCCCTTCTCCTGACTTCTCAGCACCCTCAGGCCTTCTTGTCAGCGGACTCTGGCAAGAACCCAGAGCTTGACTTCCTGGCAGCCAGCTCCACCAGGAAGCCCGCACTGCCCCTCTGCTTTTCCCACAGGCCCCTCCTACCCTCCACCAGCTGCGTGGTGGCCCCCGACAGTCCCCTTCCTTGCCTCATAGATGTAGTCAAGGATCTCCAGCAGAGTGAGGATGCTGGCCCCGATGAACAGGCCCATCTGTCCCCCGAGGTCTCCTGGGGATCGTGAGAGCAGGGTGAGAGGGAGCAAGCCCCGCTGACCCATGCCCATGGAATCTGAGCCAGGTCTCACCCAACAGGGCTGACAAGCCGTAGGCTGCTCGCTGTTCCATGGCCTCAGAGGTGAGTGCTTCAAAAAAGACATCTAGGACCAGGAAGTTCTCCCTGCGGAGGCAGGAAGCAGTGTCCATGTGGGACCACCTTCCAAGGAGGTGACTAGCAGAGACATCCCACGTCCAGCAGATGCTGCTCTGAGACCCCTTGTGCAGGGAAGCTGGTGACTACCCTCAGACCCCACAAGGCTGTGAGGGGAGGCAGTTCCAGACACATGTTAGCTTCACACTTTGAGGGTTACCAAGAATGCCTGGGCCTGCAGATTCCTGCCTGTCTTCTCCAAAGCAGAAAATAGTGTTCATGTTGCCTCATCCCTATACCTCTCTAGAACCTTCAGTGACTCCCTATTGCCCAACAGTCCACTCCAAAATTCCTCTTCCAGATTTCCGCTGTGCATTCTTATTAATCTGCTTTCTTACCTGCTTCTCTTCCCCCTCCTACTCAGGCCAATCTCCACGCCACCACACAGTTCTCTAACTGGGATGCCACCCCTCTCTTCTCCTTCCTCTTCCTCTCACAGACCCAGGGTCCTCAGAGGCCAAGCTCAGGCCTACCCTGCTTCCCCTACTCCATTCACATTAATCTCTCCTGGGGCCTGAGAAGCAAACCACACCCTCACACATGGGCTCATCCACAAATTGTGGCATGGGTTTTATATCATAATCACCTGTCTTCATAGGACCCAGCACTGGGCTTGGCACCCAGAGGATGCTCAGCAGTTGCAGACTGACTGCCGGGTGCCAGACCCAGTGCTTAGTGTGGCCCCTCTTCATTCCTCTCCCAGTCCTTCCAGTTCCACTCCCTCAGCACAGCATTCACTCAACATGCACTTAACAGCCCCAGGTTGCTGAGGAAGAACACACATAAACGGAGGGTTCTAAGACAATGGGTGCATGCAATGACACAGATAGGTACAGGTGCTGTGGCAGCTCAGATGAAAGGTGTGGACCAACAAGGACTTCCCTGGAGGTGGAGACAAAGGAAGTGACTTGGAGGATGGGGGGGAGGTGGAGGGTTAGTGAGAAGAAAAGGATTGAAAGCATTCCTGGCAGAAGACTCATTATTAACAAAGATGCAGCCTACTCCGCATCTCCATCATGCACCGGGTGTGAAGGTGGCTTCCACCACACACACACACACACACACACACACACACACACACACAAACACACACACACACACATACCGTATGTAGGTCTCATTGCGGTTGTACTTCCTGGCCAGGTACCGGGCTGAACCCCTGTTGGGGATCCTGACCATGGAGATTTCTTTCCCGTAGCGGGTCAGGTTGCAGGGAGTAGGACAGAAACACGGGCCCTCGGAGCCTCCACCCAGGGAGTCTGCAACACAGAGGCACCAACTTCAGTAGGGGTGGTGCTGGGGGTCGGGGAGGGTAGCCCAAAGGCCCACCAGCTGCAGAGGCTGTCCTGAGGCAGCCATGCCCACACTAAGGGCTTTTACTGGCCAGCACTGGCACTGCTTAGAGGACACTGGATGGAGGAGGTCCCTTCCTGGATCAGCTTCAGGCTACCCAACAAAGCAGATGAAGACAATGCTCCCAGCACCCTCCCACAGGCTTGTCCCTCTGTCCCCAGCCCCCTGGGCGGCAGGAAGGGAGGTGCTCATGGGTCAGAGCTAATCAAACACATGAGGCCTCAGACAAAGGTCTTGGAGAGGAAGCTGGGATGAATGGGTGGATGGATGGATGGAAGGACAGATGGAGAAACAAAAGAACAAGTGGATGGACTGGATTTGTATGCTTAGTAAGCAGGGTTTTCTCTGTTCACACCTTCAGATCCACTCTCCCTTCTCTTTCACTGTGCCCAGGAAGCTGAGCTCTGCTAAATGCACCACCTGACTCCCTCATCCTCTGGCTTTGGGTTGGTTCTGGACAATGGGAGGCCCCAGCAGGGTCGAAGGCCAGGAGGGCAGAGATACCAGGATATTTCTTTGCCCGCTTCCTTACTGCCAGGCTATAGTTAGCAGAGCCTTCATTCCTCCTCTTGTGACCACAGCTCCTGCCCATCAGCCCTCTTGGACAACCACAGCTCTCTCTGTGAGTTCCAGGAGTCTCCCCTCCTGCGCACCCATCCAGGCCTTGGGGAGGAAAGCCTCCTGGTGTTGCTAGTTCTGTGAAGTCTCAACATCCCTTGTGGTTTACTTATCCCTGCTCACACACCTGTTCCCTCACTAGACCTGCTTCACCCACCCCTCTGCTTGCCACAGTGGGGGTGTGGAATAGGGAAGGCCTCAAGGTGATTCTACTGCCTCAGCATCCCAAGCCCAACACTTCTCTCCTCCTCCTGCCGCGCCATCTGGATTATTGCCATGCTCTTCCGACTCACCCCGCTTCTAGTCTCACTCCCCACCAATCTATTTCCTCCATCTAATCAGAGTCACCTTCCTAAAATCAGATAGTATTCTTGCCTTGTCCTAAGCCATTGCTGGCTTCCCAGAGCCTCCTCTACTCTTCCCCACCCCCTCCTCTGTGCTCTGCCCTCCAGCCACACTGATCTTACAGGGCCCCAGACATCCGCTCTCTCTGGCCACAAGGTCTTTAGCATGTGCTCTTCTTATTGTCTAAAACATGTCCCCTTTCCACCCGGGTGACTCTGACGTACCCTTCAAGTCTCAGTCTCTGTCACTTCCTCTAAAAAGCCTCCCTGCCTTCCCAGGTGCATGCCCCTCCCTGGGGCCTTGTAGAATCCCTGAGGTTCCCCTACCCAAGAACTCACACACTGTGTCTTGATGCCCATCCACAGCCTTGCCCAGCAGTGAGCTCTGCAAGAGCAGGGCTCTTGTTTCCACTCTCACCACCAGCACCAGCACAGGCTGTAAATGTCTGTAGAATGAATGAATGAATGAATGAATGAATGAATGAATGAATGAAATGCAGATCAGACAGGACCTATGGACAGATGGGGCCTGCCTTACCCACACTGGGAGCCAGCAATTCATTTTTCCTTACACCAAGAAAGGAGTCATTTCACTTCCCCGGAGAGGCAAGCTCATTTGCTGAACCAAACTTAAAAGCCTGGGTTCTCTGCAACCCCTCACCCAGCTGCCTCCACTTACCCAAATGTTCACACCTGCAAAGGTCTTCAGACCCCTGGAGGTATGGGATAAGGCTCAACCCCCAGGAAAAAGCCCCAGGAAGAGACTGAGAGGAGGAGAGCCAAGGTTGTTAGGTAAAGGGGAGACAGAGAGGTGAAGAGGAGGGTGACGGAGAGGCAGGAAAGGGAGCAGGCAGCACAGACCCAGTGTGTGGTCGGCACACTCGATGTAGATATTTGGTGGGCAGATGGTCTCATTGCCTGAAAGGAGAGAAGATTATTCCTGGAGTCTATGGTTCCATCCCCTCTGTCCCACCCCATCCCCAAATGTGGGCACACTTGTGCACGCACATAAACATGCACACACGTGCCCCCAAGATATGCACGGTTGCGCACACACATGCAGGCATGGATGTATACATGCCCAAGCATAAACGTATGAAAATGTTCACGTGCATGTAGACATACAAACATATGCACCTGTGTGCACATGTATGCGCATACATTTACATACATGGGTTGAAACGTGCATGCAACCCCCAGAAGTACACAGGTATAGATGTACATGGTCACCTGTGTGTATAAATACATATCATGCTCATGTGCACGTGTGAAAACATGCATAAAATCCCAAATACACACACTCACATGGGTATAGATACGCACACATGTTGCACACATGCACCTGCCCATGCACATGAGCAGTCCTCTGCCCCTGGAGGTTCTGGAGCCTGGCAGGGTGGCACAGAGGGTCGGCAGGGTGGTGGGTGCCCACCTGGCATGTGCACCATTCGGCAGTGGCAGCGCTGAAGCACAGCCTCCTTTTCACAGCGCAGCCGGCAGGCAGACACACTGTAGGCCGAGTAGCCCTGAAGCTCAGGCTCCCTGAGCCCGCTCTCCGCCCGGCAGTTGCCCCAGGGCTGGGGCAGATAGGTCAGCTGCAGAGGTGGGCATGGTGGGGTCATGCCCAGGAGTACCATCTGGCCCTCCAGTGCCCACAGCCCCAGCAAAGTCCCTGGGTGGACCGGTGGGCTGCGAGCTTGGGAGGGCAGGTCTGGTCAGCATCCCCTCTAAGCCCAAAGGCCCAGCCCCGGGCCCAACCCAGTGCCCAGCTGGAGGTGATCACCCGCTGTTCCTGGCAGGACACGAAGGTCTGGAAGCCGGGGGACACGCCGAAGCCCAGCTGGTGGATGTAGGGTGGCTCCTCCTGGCTGTGGATCTGCACGCGGATGCCAGCCTCAAATGATGTCTCATCTGCACAGTGGAGAGGGGGACCTTTGGGAAGCCATCCCCGGCAGCTGGCCCAGGCCAAAGTCCCCAGGGTGGCCCTGCGTACTTGTCTCTCTCCAGATGGGCAGGTACTCCTCCTGCTGGATGTCCAGCATGATCTCCAGGCCGCTGCCCATGCCCCCGGCCCGGCTGGGAAGGGAGCTCTGTGGGTCTGCATTGAAAGTATAACACTTCCCATAGCGAGTATAGACCTGCAGGGCGGGAGAGAAGAGAAGGGAAGATGGAAGGAGGGCTAACACTCCTTAGACTTAGGTTTCCCTGCACTCACTTCCCTGCCCAGGCAGCCCAATCCCATTATTCCCGGAATCAGTCTGCAGCCCAGACTCTCACCTGAGCTCCATCTTTCCTGCTGACACTCTCCCTTAGATGACTGAGGCACCTCCAGCTTAACAAACAACAGCAGAACTCTTGACATCTTCCCAAATCCGGCCCCTGCCCCACCATTCTCCTCCTCTGAGTGAAGGGCCCCACCACCTATCAAATTTCTCCAGTCAGAATCCCTGAAACCTCCCTTTCCCTCACCAGCAACTGTTTTGGAGCAATTCTACATCTGAAACCCAGTTAGAATTCATTCACTTTCCTTCCACATTGTGTCCCCCTCTCACCTCATGGCCCACCTGGCCACAGCAGTGAGCCTCTAACTGCTTTCCCCTCACCCACCCTGGCCTCTGCCTCCTGGCTGTCCAGAGCGTTCCTTCCACCCAAGCTGCCTGTCAGCTTAAAGCCCAACAATGGCTTTCCATTTCCTGCAGAACAAAGCCCAGCTCCTTCCCTCGCCTGAAAGCCTGTGTGTGACGTGACCCTTGCCCGCCTCTCCTGCCACTCCCCCCCACCTTCCCCCCACCCCCAATCTCTGACAAATCCAACCTCATGGTGCACCTTCCTTCCTCAGACCTTTGCTCACTTGGATCCCTTCCCTGGAATGCCTCCCCCTCCCATTTTGGCAGGGCTAGCTGTTCACCCCTTAAACCTCAGCTTAAGCGTCTTTCCTCACCACACACTCATATACCACACACACACACACACACACACACACACACACACGTGCACGGTTCCACCTCTACCCGTCAATCAACGTGTTGGTTGGTTTGCTCAAAGTCCTTACCAAGACCTGGGATGATCTTGTTTATCTATTTGTCTCTTAGTTCAATGTCCATCTCTTCCCCACCAATAGACTGCACCTGCCCCATTGCGGGGGGGTGGGGAGGCACCCAAAGGACTCTTTCTTTAAAATATTTTTTTTATTGGCCGAAACTGGTTTGGCTCAGCGGTAGAGCGTCGGTCTGCGAACTGAAGGGTCCCAGGTTCAATTCCGGTCGGGGGCATGTACGTTGGTTGCGGGCACATCCCCGGTAGGGGGTGTGCAGGAGGCAGCTGGTCGATGTTTCTCTCTCATCGACGTTTCTAGCTCTCTATATCTCTCCTTTCCTCTAAGAAAAATAAATAAAATATATTAAAATATTTTTTATTGATTTCAGAGAGGAGGAGAGAGGGAGAAAGACAGAAACATCAATGATGAGAGAGAACCATTGATCAGCTGCCTCTTGCATGCCCCACACTGGGGACCGAGCCTGCAACCCAGGCATGTGTCCTGACTGGGAATCCAACCGTGACCTCCTGGAGTCCACCGCAATCATTCAGCCATCCAGGCTGGGCAAGAACTGTTTAATAAGCAGTTACTGCCTCGCTGAACAAAGCCCATCTTCCAACTCTGCGGAGACTTCTCCAGCATAGACAGCAGATGGCACTAGCGCCCTGGGGATGGAAGTGGAGGCTCCGCTGGGACGTAGCTGTGGTGGGGAGGAGATTGAGGGAGCGGTGGATGCAAGTCCCTCCCGCCTCGCGCCCCCCCCCCCCCCCCCCCCCCCCCCCGGCTCACAGCACAGAGCTGCCCGTGTCAAACCCATCACAGGCAGCACCTTCCCTGGGGGCCAGGGGTCGGTGCACTCAATCACTCTCTCTCCGCTTCCCCTCTCCTTGGGAACGTTTCTACACGGGCAAAACCAGGAAGAAGGCATGAGGCATGTAAGGGAAAAGATACAGTAAATGCCTAGCTTCAGAGGGAGGGTGCAGAAGGGAGATGGGTTGGGTTGAGAGCCGTGAGAATGAGGATCTGGTTGTGGGACAGGGTTAGGTCTCCCGTCCTCACTAGGTGAATCGCCTTGCTGACCCTCCCCTCTCACACCGTCCTTCCATCACCCCAATACCCTGCTTCCGGTTCCTAAAACAAAACAGTGCCACGCAGTTGACAAAACAGGGTCTCATCCATTGCTGCCCCATTCCACCACTCAGCAACCCCGGTATCAGGCCGCTTGAATTAGCCAGATTATTACAGACAGGACACTGCAGCTCAGAGAGGTGATGGGATTTGCTCAAGGGTCACACAGCTCATCAGTGGAGGAGTGTGATTCACCTAGATGTGGGTGCCCAACCCCCACCATGTCTACTCTCAGCCTTTGTTTCCGCCCCATTCCGCTGACACATGACCCAACATCCGTCCCCTTTTCTCCACTCTCTACACCCTCCTCACTCTTTCTTCTCCAGATCTGCTGCCTCTCAATTCTTCACTCCCGTGCCTGTCCCTCCCCTCTTCCTTCTGCACCCTCGCTGTCTTCTGGGCTCCAGTTCTTGACTCTGTCTGTGTCCATCTGTGTGTGGGGCAGTAGTGGACATCGCTGGCAGTTCCAGAGCCTCTTTCTGGCCCAGGCACAGTGCCAAATGGGTAGCCTATGCTTTCCACCTGCATCCTCACAACCATCTATGTCCTACAGGTGAGGAGACTGAGGCTTAGAGAGGGAAGATGATCTGCCTAAGTCTCCAAGATCAGTGCTTCTCCAATGTCAACAAGCCAATGTGCACACACAACACCCAGGGATCTTGGTAAATGCAGATTCTGATTGTGTCAAAAGTGTTAGCGGGCAGGACTGAGACTCTGCATTTCTAGCACTCTCTCCAGAGAGAGGGGCGTTCTGAAGGGGGCTGGGTGCAAGCTATCTTGGCCCCCCGTGGTGTGGGAAAGGCAGAAGGGAATATATAAGCAATCGCCCCAAATTTTAAAGCACCCCCCCCCTCTTCCCATTCCCGGCCAAGATGTTAGAATCAGCTTTTGCTGATGCAGCCAGTTTTAAGTATACGCTCCAGTTGAAAGGCTAAACAAGACATGAGCTGCGTGGGGACCAGAGTAGTAAAGTGCTCACTCGTGTCTCCCAGCATGCTGCACCCCCTCGGCAGAGCCCTGACTGCAGGCTACCCATGGTCTTCCCTCATTTCAGCCTCATTTGTGGGACTATGGACTGTCTGAGGCCAGGAGCCCCACTTTACTATCTTGGTATCCCCAGATCCCAGTGCCACTTACAGAAGGAGGCATGAGATGGAGGGAAGAAGTGCAGAGAGAACACTATCAAATACCAGATCCTATGCTACGTGCCTCTGACACATTTTCTCCTTTGAGCTGCCAAGACAACCACGTGAGGTAAATATTATTACCTCCATTTAATGATGAGGAATCTTAGAGAGGGACAGTGACCTGGCTAAGGACATAAAGCAAGTAAATGACAGCAGAGATTCAAACGGAACTGGGCCCGATTCCAAAACAGAATGCTTATAAAACACCTGGTATGTTCAACGAATGAATGACTCAGATACCTCCAACATGTACACACAGACACACATCGCGTGACCCTGAGCTCAGCGCTGTGCTGGGCCAACCCCATTGGGGAAGCTTTGGCTTTGATGGCTTTGGAGGGTAGTGATTATCTGGCACCACTGCCTCAAGTTGGCTGTGCAGAGTGGGTGTGACAAAGAGAGGTGGGTAGAAGGAATCTGAGTCTGAAGGGTATACTTTGCAGGAAATGGACAGGCCAGACAGGCAGGGCCAGGCCACCTGCACAGCCTGGGTCAGGCCCGACTGCTGCACAGAGCAGAACGTTGCTCTGGAGACGGCCCCTGGGTCAGGCAGGCAGCGCAGGTGGAGCCGCCAGCTCCTAAGTGGCAGAACATTTGTGGCAGCACAGCCACCGCCTCTTCCATGGAGACGGCACGGCCACTAAGGCACATGGGCCCAGTGCCGTCCACTGCTCTCTCCCCCCAGACAGGCCTGGAAGGAGAGCATGTGCACAGGAGCTGAGAGGCTAGGGCTCAGCCACCGGAAGGGGCAGGTTCCAGGTCAGGATGGGACCCGATGGGTCAGGGGCTAGCTCCAGATCGCCCACCACCAGCCCTTTGACTCTGGACCCTGCCCCCATCTCAGACCCCACCTCCTCCTTCAAAAGGCCCTTTTCTTCTCTGCCCTTCTTTGCTCTCTGCCTCAGTTCCCAGGTCCACCCTCCTGGCCCTCGCCTGAGCACGTGGCCTCCCAGAGCCCTTTGGCCCTAGGCTGGACAGCTGCTCGATGAGACTGTCTGCACTGCATGCAGACCCTTGGGCCCGCCACCACCTTCCTTCTGGCTAGCCTCTATCTGTCACTCCCAGAACACCCCCCTTTAGTGTTAGCCTGCACCAGCTCTGGGTCGGTCTGTCTCTCTGGCCTCTGTCCCCTGATCTGTCTGTCTCTCAAGTCCCTCCTCCTGGCCTGTCTGTCCTCAGCCTCCAGTCCATCTGGTCTCTGTTTTTCTGCCCCTGGCCTTTTGTTGGCCTGTTCATCCCTCTGGCCTCTGTCTTTCCCTCCTATTGGTCTGACTACCACCATCCCTCCCCCACTACCTCACACCCTGTTCCTTTGCTGTCTATATCTCTACCTTATTTGCTTTCCTCCTTTCTTCTCTGCCTATGGCTTAGTCTTGCTGTCCATGACTGTCTCTTTTGTTCCTTTTAGACTTTTACCTGGGCCTGAGGTAGCTCCCCTTCAGGCCAAGAATCCCTCCCTAGGTATGCTCCTCTTTTTCGCCCTGCCCTCTCTCCAGGTCTGCCCCGGTCCATGATCAGGGATTGGGAGAGAGATCTAAGAGGTGGCTTTTCTCAGCCCCCTGAGTTCTGTCTATCCTCAGCTCCCATTTCCCCTGGCTCGCTTGGCTGTGTTTTCTCCCATCCCTCCCCATCCCCGCATCCTCCCTGCAGTCACAGAGACCATGGGGTTAACAGGTAATTAGCAAGTCCAGGGCTCAGAGCTGCGAGGAAGCGGGCCCAGCCTCCAGGAGATAAGAAGCAACCAGGAGCAGCCGAGGCTGGGCTAATCCTGGAGCTAATCTGCAGC